TTTTTTTTTTTTTGGTACCGGGGATCAAACTCAGGACCTTGCACTCGCGCAGCAGGCGGTGAAACCACTGAGCTAAATCCCCGGCCCCCCATTTGTTTTTTTCGGTATTGAGGATCAAACTCGGGTCCTTGGGCGCTTTCGGGGCAGGTGGTGGAACCACTGAGCCAAATCCCTGGACCGCCTGGGGACTTTGTTAACCTCAGCTTTCTGACTCAGAATCTTAGGGTACGACAGCCAGGTCCTGTTTTAAAGCCATCTGCCAGGCTATTGCACAGGAAACCTGGGGACCCTTGGCTCCCAGGGCCTTGCTCTGGGTGGTGGCAGGACTTTGCATTCTCCCTCCCCTGTGCCGCCACACACTTGCCTGGGGTGCCTTGGCTGTGTGGTCTGCTGCCTGCCCTCTGTCTGTGCCTGCCTCCCCGGGGCCTTTTGTGTAGGGGGTGCTCTCCTGGCTGCCTCTTCTCAGCCCCCAAGAGGGGAGACGCCTGCGTAACAGCCTCAGATCCCTGCTCCTCCTGGTCAGCATTCGGCTTAGGCTTCTGCCAAACTCCAGGGGCCAGAGGGGAATGACACATTTTTTCCAAGTCAGCAGATGGAGCCGGGACTGACGGCTGGGAGCCCACTGCTTCCTTCTCAAGATCTGCTGCCCTCAGCACAGTCGCGGGCCCAAGGTTGAAAGGACTCAAGGGCAGCCCGGGTGCTGCCTTGTGAACCAGTCACACAGCGCTCTCTCTGTGGTGGAGTGGGGGGGGTCTGAAGACCCTGGGGAGTCCCCAGGATGAGGAGGAGCAAGGTGGGGAACGGAAAAGGACAGTCTACCCTGAGCTCCATGCTTGGCTGAGCTGTCCGGGCTCCCCCTGGTGGCTGCTCAAGCCCTGGGGTCCCTGTCAGTGATTCTAACAAGGGAACAGGCCAGCACAGGCCACACTCCAGGGTCTGTGAGAATCAATTCCACGCTGAAACTTTGTGTTTTTGTTTGGTTGGTTGGTTAGGCTGCTGTAAAAACCCAAAACCTTCCCAAGTTTGAGACCCAGGTCCTCTCCAGGAAGTCAGGCCTAGGAGCCACTAGGTGGCGCTAAAGGCACACTGAACTTGGTTCCAGTGACATTTAACTGCGAGCGGTGGGGGGAGAAGGTGGGTGGGCTGACATAGTTTTGGCCATTCCGCATCTTCTCTACAAAGCCTGGCTTTCGCTTTGGGCCTGGGCCCTTGGGCACCGTGACAGCGTGGGTGCTAGGAGGGTCTGCCCCAGGAGCTGCCGTCCGAGGGCCCCTTTTCCCACCTGGCCAGTGAGGCTGGGCCCAAGTGGTTGCTGGTTGCAGCACACGTTGTGCCTTTTCATCAGAGTCCCTGTGCTTCCGTGGGTTGCCATCCTTGACACCCTGGTCAGTGAGCGAGTGGCCTGGCCTTACCTACTGGACCCTGGGGCTCCGAAGCCTGCCGGGTGCTTCTGTGCTCTTTGCTTGGGAGGGGCAGTGTTGCCTCTGGAGACCCAGAAATCCTAAGGGTTGGTGTAACAGAGATAAAACACTGAGAAGTTGAGGTGGAACCTGGCTGCCCTGCCCAGTCTCCTGCTGGACCCCTTATACCCCTGGGCATCCCAGGTGAGGACCCTCCACCCTGCAGGGCTTCTGCTGCCTCAGGAAATGCAGCTCTGGTACCTTTAAGAGCCCAGGGCAGGCAGGAAAAGAATTTCAGTTTTAGTCTGGCTTCTAAATTTGGAGTTTTGGGAAGGGAGGGATCAGATTTCAGCTGGAAGGGAAGGAGCTGACAGGAAGGCGCAGAGCAGAGCCTCCCCCACCCCACCCATCCCCCTCGGTTACTGACAGAGGAACCATTTACAAAAGGCCGATTCTCTGGGGAGTGGAAAGGCAGGAACGCAGCGTCTGTGAGTAATTTCCTGCTCAATATGGCTGCTCTGACTCACGATTCCCCTGGGGTCACTGCGGGACTGCAGCCTGCTCACACGCTCGCTCTCGATCTTCTCCCTTTGTGGCTAGAATGAGCTCATTTTTTTTTGGTCTCCTCGCCCCTGATTCCTTTTTCCCTTCGTCTGTTTTCCTTTTCCAATATGCAGTCTCCTTCTGAAGGACTTAGGGAAGCCTGGAGTACTGACGGCCTGCGGGGGTCTGCAGCATGGCCCTGCCCTGGCTCAGCCCAGCAGGCAGGGCTGGTGCAGAAGGCAGAGCCCTGTCCCTTCACTCCCCTTCCCTGGACCCTTGCTGAGCAGCCCTGGTGCTGCTGCTGTACAGGGACAGAGCCCACAGTGTGCCCAGAGTGCCTGGGTCCCCAGCCTAGTGGGAGGGGCAGCAGGGCTGGGAGCCTGCTGGGAGCTGGGGGAGGGGAGAGGCCAGGCCGGGTGGAGTTGTGGAGGGGCATCTCCTCCGGATCCGGATCCGAGGAGGCTTGGCCCCTGCAGGTTGGGGTACCTGGCAGGATTCCAGGGATGGTAGAAGGGGCACCCTGACCCTGCCTGGCTGAAGTCTGTTATCCTTGCTACTTGGAGACTCTCTGGGGACATAGGTCAGGGAAAGGAGATGACAGGGACAGCTTTTTACCCAAATCTGAGAAGTTTAGCCAGCGTTGCCCTTGCTGGACAGTACAAGGCCCGAGGGAGTGGGGAACCAGTCAGTAGCAGCAGCAGCTGTGGGGCCTGCTGGTGAGGCTGCCCCACTGTGAGACAGAGCTTAGGCTTCTCTCCCTGGAAAGACCTCCCCTCCTCCCAGGCCTCATGCACAGCTTCTGGAAACTTCCACCCACTCCAGGCCCAAGTCTCCCTTGCCAGACTCAGCCTCTTTGCTTTTCCATCTTTCTGTGCAGCCTGGGGCCCAGGTGCTGAGGCTGCTCTCAGCATAAGGCTGCTGCCGGCCCAGAGGAACGGCGAGGGCGCTGTGAACTGCATGGCTAATAGCTCGGCACATCCCCCTGTCCTCTGGGCACCGTGGTTTCTGATGTCATGGGAACTGCACTGGGCTTGCACAGCGCTCTCTTCCTTCCTGGAGGCTCAGGCTCTGGGGCAAGAGGAGGGACCTGGACGGACTGTCCTGCGTCTACTGTGGTTGTCAGCCCTGGCCTCTCGGGTGGGCCAGCCTGGCCTTCTTCCTGCAGTGCCCTGCCTCACTTTGGCCCCTTGTGTTCTCTCCTGCCACCTGCCATGCACAGGGCACAGGGCAGGCCCTCCCAGCCCCTTCCTCTGCCCTGCTAGCCCTGCCTGGCTGATGCAGACCAGGCCTGCTGTGGGGCCGGGCAGGTTAGGTGCTCTGTGGCTGGGGAAGCTGAAAGAGCCACACCAGAGACTTCGGGAGAGGGTTTTTGTTTTTGAGACAAGGTCTCGCTGTGTAGTTCACCAGACTGGTCTCAAACTCATGGCAATCTCCCTGCTTCAGCTTCCAGAATCCCCCATACTGGGATTACAGGTGTGCACCACCACACTAGGCTTGGGAGAAATTTTAATTCCCATTGGCTGGTAGATTTGGTGGTAGTACCTGTTGGACTCTGTTTTGGTTGGGGGGGGCCGGAGACAGACCGACAGACAGACCCTGGGGGTGGATGAGGCTCGAACACCCCCGTCTCTGGCACTTGTACTTGCTTTGTGTGTGCCGCATGGGGCACACTCTGTGGCTTGGCTCTAGTGTGTGTGTGCATGTGTGAGAGAGACAGAAAGTGCCTGTTGTGGCGAAGCAGGGCGCTCTCCCCAGCTGTTGCTTCTGTTGTCTAGATGAAGACCGGGCCATTCGCAGAGCACTCCAACCAGCTGTGGAACATCAGTGCGGTCCCCTCGTGGTCCAAGGTGAACCAAGGTCTCATCCGCATGTATAAGGCTGAGGTGAGTAGGGCGGCCCACTGCTCTGCTGTGGCCCTCAGGCCAGCCCCTTGACACATGGGGCCTCAGACTCTCCACAGGGAGTCTGAAAAGTGCTGGGCTGAGGCCCACTTCTGCCCTCATTAGTGCAGAGGCTGAGCAAGACCCTGCTGCTGGGGGCAGGGCTCTTCCTGCCTGGTCCTGTTGAGTTAGGGTGACACAGTTGCCAGAGGCCCTTCCACGCTAGCAGCCTGGTGTTTCCCATGGTGACTGGAAGCAAGGCATTCTTGGAGTGGAGTGGCCTCCTGGAGGCGTCATCCTAAATGGTTCTGTCAAGCTATAGTTTGTAGCTGCAGGCTGGTGACGGCCCAGGGGACGCTGGACCTGGCACTTTCAGGACCACTTCTGGTGGCCTCCAGTGCCCGGGCAGGCCATGGGTTCCCGAGCTCCTGCTGCTTCGATGCTGCTGCCCTTCGCCTGCCTGGTGCCTTCTGCCCTTTTCCAAAAAGGGTGGGAACAAATGTCTTTCTACCTACATCTTGGGCTTGGCCTTGAGCAGGAACGACCTGCATGCGCAGTGCCCCCTCATCTGGAGTGGAGCCGTGGGCCCCCAAAGTGCCTTCTTTTGTTTTGTTTCTCCTTCCTTCTCCTCTGGGAGGATGCCCAAGGTCTGCTTCCTTCTTCCCTCACCAGAGGCAGGACAGCACCGCAGGGGTGAGAGGCTTCCATGCATGGCTCTGAAGGGGTTAACAGTGCTGGAGCTGCTGCTGACCGCCTGGCCCTCCTCCTCAGCCCCTCCCCCTCGGTTCCCTTCTCTGGACTTCACATCCTGTGTTTAGGTTGCAGCCTACATACCTCTCTAATCTGAGCCTCCCTTGCTGGGGGTGCCCAGGCTCCTTCCACAGCTGCCCCACCCAGCTCTCCCTGTCCTGAGAGCCCAGGTCACTGCCCTCTGTCCTGTCCTTCCTGACTGGCCTCTCCCACCAGTCCCACGGTGGTGCTGCTGGGCCACGCTGCCACCTTGCGGCCCGCTTGCTGCTGGGGGCTGTCTCAGCAAGGGAGGGCTCCATGGCTGCTTGGCCCTGACCCTCTTCCAGAGGCAGAGAGCTACAGAGCAACAAGCTGAGGGAGGGGCAAAACGAAGGTTTAAGATCAGGATGTGAGGCAGGAGATTGGCAAGCTTGAGGTTGTCCTGGGCAACTTAACAAGACCTTGTCTCAGAATTTACAAAAGGCTGGGGATGTAGCTCAGTGGTAGAAGGTTTGCTTAGCCCTTGTGAGGCCCTGAGTTTTATCCTCTATGCTGTGAAAAAATTCGAAACAGTGGTGCAGCGCACAGAACAGACTCTAGTCCATGACGTAAAGGTAGCCAGACTCTACAGTTGTTTGTATCCAGAAGATTGGAGCTGGAAACTGCATGAATTCCAGAGGCATCCTTCCGAGCCCTGATGCACACAGGGGCGGTAGGAGCTTGCTTGTCCTGGTGCTGTGTAAGCCAGACTGCTTTGTAGGCCACTGCTGGAGCTCCCTGACTTGGTTATGAACCCCAAGTCTTTGCAGTGCTCAGAACTCACCGATGGGGTCCTAGGAAGTAGCCCTTAGTGTCTGGTTTCCGAGAGTCCGTGGAGCTGTGTGCTGTCCCCACACCCCCAGGAAGGACATGCTTCTCTGGCCTGTTCTCAGTCCACAGGACCTTCGAGGGCCCCAGCTTTGATGTCCAGAAGGGATTAGCAAGGCCAGAGTCACCTGCCTAAGTTGGCTGCTGGCAAGAGTGGCATTATGTGACCTCAGGATTTGGGACTACCTTGTGTTTCCAATATGTTTTCTTTTTATTTACTTATATTTTTCCTATAGTACTAGGGATTGAACCCAGAGCCTTCCAACATGAGCTGCAGCCCCAGCCCTTTTAGTTCTTTTTATTCTGAGATAGGGTCTCACTGAGTTGCCCAGGCTGGGCTCAAACATGACATTCTCCTGTCTCAGCCTCCCAGAGTGCTGGGATTACAGTGTGGGCTACCATCCTGGCTCTGACCTGGTCTTTCTGAGTTGAAGAACCAGTGCCTTCATGGGTCCTGGGTGGCCTAAAGGCTTGCTATGTAGGCCCCTGGTCCCGGAAGGCTGTGAGGGGCTGGCTGAAGGACCTGGCTCAGTGGCAGAGGCTCTGGTGCCTTAGGCACTTCCTGCCCCAGAGCGGTAGACTTTCTCTGCCTCAGCCCAGCCTGGCCTCCTGTGGCCCTGGGTCTCAGGGCTGAGTGGAGAACCCTCTGCCTCTGCTCTCCTTGCCTTCGCTGCTTCTCGGGTGTGAGAGCTGGAGGCAGGTTGACTTTTGACCCCTTCTGGAATTCAGGGCCCTGGGGGCCCTTTTGTAAACTCCCACCACTTCTGGATGACATCAGCACAATGGCAGCTGCCTTGCCTCTGGCCTGGATCTGCTGCTCCAACCCCCCTGGGGCCACCCCAGCAGCCTGCTCCCCACTTTCCCGGCACCTCTGGCCTTGCTGACCACCTGTGTGCCCCTCCCCACTTCTTCTGCAGCTGGTTTCTCGGGTGAAGGAAGTGGGGCTGGTCATGGTGCTCCTTTGTCCCTCTTAAGTTAGAGTGAGGCAGGCCTCGTGTTGCACCCCAGTGAGGAGGTCTTGTTCCTGGCTGGAGGTGTGGGAGGAGCCCTGTCTGGTGTGGGAACAGCCTCACCCTGGCCAAGCTGTGGCTGAGAGCCCCAGGCACGGGAGACAGGAGGTACAGCCCTGCCGGTGGCCTGGGGCCCAGTTCCCTGGTAGGCCCTGTCCCCTGGGCTCTGGGTCGCCACCCCTGCGTGCTGTGTCCCTGCCCCCCACAAGGCTCTGGGAACAGCCTGGGGAGCTGTCAGCTGGTTCCTGTTGTCTCACTTTGAAGTGCCAAGTGACTTTCTCAGTCCAGACCACTGAGAACTGAAGAAAATAGGGCAGGGAATTTAGCTCAGTGGTTCCAGCGCCTGCCTTGCAAGCACAAGGTCCCAAGTTTAATCCCTGGTACTAAAAAGAAAATGGGCCTTGGCCTCTGCTTAGGCTTGTGTTCAAATGTCCCTCGCTGCCAGGCCAAAACCAGGGCTAGGCTGAGGGTGCCGGTATCAGGAAGGTCCTTCTTACCTCTTGTGTCCAGCTTCCCCCCAGGCCCAGTGGTGTCACTTAGCTGCTGTCATCTGGACTTGGCTTCCACTTTGGAGGGTCACCCCCCCCCCATGTGGTTTTATGGTCTGACTGCTGCAGCGGGGGCTCTTTGGGTGGGAAGAGCTGTGGGGAGCAGGAGAGACAGGTGCCCCCTTTCTTGAAGGCCCAGAGGCTACTCCGACTGCATGGAGTAGCATGGAGACCCCTGGGGTGGCTCTGGTTTGGACCCTTGGTGTCTGGATCCCCTTGGGCCTTTACTCTCTACTCTGCCTTCCTTCACAGTGCCTGGAGAAGTTCCCCGTGATCCAGCACTTCAAGTTTGGGAGCCTGCTGCCCATCCACCCTGTCACCTCCAGCTAGCAGGGCTGAGTTGCAGTCACCCAGGCTGGGTTCCCGAGCCCTCCTGACCCCGGATGCCCCTGCCCCACCCTGTGTTCTGTTTGATGAGAGGCTGTTTACTGGGGTGGGTGCTAAGCAGGGCTTGGGCTGAAGGACCTGGGTTGGGAGAAGTGACCAAAGTGTGGCCAGTGTCCTGACCTCTCTGTGGCGGTCAGGCGAGAAGAGAGGAACTGGGACCTGACTCCTGTTCCCGGCCTCCCTCTCCCCCTTCTCTCCTGCAGTGCCACTTGGAGACCAGGGGCTGTGGGAAGGGGCATCTTGCTTTCCATTGCTTTCTCTCCCCTTTCCCACCCATGCCTTTCCGAGGGTTAGAGTTCTGTTCCTTGCAGGGTGGGTCTGCTCCCCAGGCCTTGTTTGGGTGGGTATCTGGGTGTCTGCTGCAGGGCTGGAGGCTGAGGTTGGTGGCCAGCCATGGGGTGGGTGTGGAGAGGCCTTGCTGTTCCAGCTGGCGGGCTCCCAGGCTCCTCATCGAGGCTGCCCCTGGGCCCAGGGCCTCAGCTTGGCTTTTGTGTTCTCCAGCCCTTGGCTTGGCCATAACCACATTTCTCCCTCCCCAGAGGTCACCCAGCTGTGAAAGCTGCCCTTTGGGTAGGTGCTGGGCTCTGGGAGGGCTCTGGAGTGTGTGAGGCCTGCCTTTCCAGAACTTTCCCAGCATGGAGAGGCAGCAGAGACTCAGGGAGGGGCTTGGGGCTGATTCCTCCGGGCGCCCAGGCCTGGCTGCTTCTGGCACCACTTCGCTACTGTGACTTCCCTGGGGCACTCAGCCTGCTCTGCTCCCTTGGGCAGGTGGGTGCTGGCGTGACCAGGCTGGGGGTAGCCACCCTATGCTTCCTTGTCCTCCTGCCTCCATGATGGGATGAGGTAAGGGATGGTGCCCAGGCCCAGGTGCTGGCTCTCAGTGCGGGCCGGGCCGGGGGCACAAGTTGTGCTGCTAGGTGCCTACCCATTTCCTCCTGCCCTCCTAGCCTGCCCTTCACCACCCCTCCTGGGTCTGGGTCCGTAGAACCTGTGGGGAAGGCACTCCGAGCAGCACGACCCAGGGGTTCAGTGGTCTGGGCAGAGGTTGGGACAGGATTGTCAGACTCGAAGACAGATTCTGGAGAGGCCGGCACAGCCTCCTCCCAGGCCAGGCCTTGGCCCTCCTGGCTCCCTGTCCCCTGGGCCCCAGCCCCTGCACCTGTGTTGCTGTTCGGATTAAAGCCTCTGTTTTGCACCTGTTGCCAGTGTGAGACATCTTTTCCTGCCAGGTGCTTGTTTCATCTCTGCATCACTTTGTCCCCATTCGGTCCCCTCCCCTTAGGCCACAGTGTGTGGGGCATGAGGTGCTTCAGTTGGGTTGGTTTTCCTGGAGGAGGACAAGAGACTGCGAGCCCTGAAGTGTAGGTGGGTAGGTGCTGAGCCCGGGCAGAGTGTGTGTTCTGCAGGTGGGAGCAGTTGTTGGGTAGAGGGTGCCAAAGGGCTGGGGGCCTTTCGGGCCAGAGGTCAGGAGAGACCTCGAGGGAGCTGGGGCTGTGGAGCACAGCCTGGCCTTGAGGAGTCCGCAGTTCAAGCTCAGTTGCTGGCCTGTGGGGAGGCAGACAGGAGACAGCCTGTTAGGGGGCTGTAGCTTTGGCTGAGCACAAGGGTGTTGGAGGCCTGGAGTCAGGGGTGGAAATGGTTCATTCAGATGTTGGAGGGAAGAGTGAGAGCCACAGGAGCAACAAGAACCCAGTGCCTGGTGTGTGTAGCTCAAGGCCCTTCTGCTGGGGAAGTCAGACAGAGCTTTACCTGCTTGCCTTCTAGGAGGTGGGGCAGCCGCTGGATACGCCGGTATAGCACTCAGCTGGTGTCGCTGTGTGTATGTGTGTGCAAGTGTGTGTCCCACTGCTTGTGAGAGGTGAGGAAGAGACCATTTCCAGGAGGAAAGCCCACAAGACTGGAAGGAAAACAGTGAGGGCCTGGAGTCCGAGTCCGGAGGAAAGTTTTTCTTGACTAATAACCATGAAGCGCCAGTCATATGAAAGGCATTTAGGGGAATGTGCAGATGGGAGGAGGGGAGAATCCTGTCATCTGGGGGCCAGCATTGGGGAGCTGGTCTGGACCCCAGGGTGCTGCCCTGCTCCCAGGCCAACCACACCCTCCCCTGGACGGCCAGCAGCCTGGCCTCGTGCTTCCTCGCAAAGGCAACTTGGTGAGCTCCACTAGCTTGGTGCCCACTGCAGTGGACACAGACCCAGGACATCCTGGGGGCCCGTGACGGAGAGAGGTGTGGTGCCAGGAGCCAGACTGCAGAGGCTGGAGTTGGCCCCCTGGGACTTGGGGTCAGGCTTCAGGTCCCTTGGAGTGGAGTCCTCCAGTGCTCTACACACCACCTTGACAGGAGGGCGGGGAAAGACGTCCCACGCTCAGTGCCAACCAGCGCCTGGCATGCAGCTGTCAGTGTGGACCACGCTTAGAGAAGAGTCAAGTGAAGCTGTGAAGCCAGGGCAGAGGCTGCAGGTGCCGGACCTGGGTGGCCACCTAGTGGGGCAGCTGGCTGTCAGTAGCAGGGCTTCGGGCGGAGGCACTGTGCAGCAGGGAGAGGGAGACAGTGGGATTAGGGTAGTTCTCTGACCCTGGGCTGTCCCACTGTGCCGGGGCCCCCAGGGAGGAACGGGCTGAGCTCGGTGAGAGGCAGAGAGTCTGAAAAGAGCTGTTGGGCAGACGTGGTGGGTCTGGCTGATTGGGGAGCTGGCAGGGCTGTGGACAGGGAGGGGCAGGCTGCAGTGGCTCCCAGGATCCTCCCAGGACCCCAGGTGCTCCAGCCTTGGGCTCCCTGGCCTCCCCTACACCAGCCTTCTCTGCTCCTGAAACTCTCCTAACCACTGAGCAGCTTGGCCCTGTGCCCAGAACCCTTCAGCCCTCAAGGGAAGCCCTGCCCCTCCAGGTTCTGCTGAGGCCTCAGGAGGCTTCCTAGGCCATGCTGCCCCTGCCCCTCTTGCACTCATACCAAATCGGGACAGCACTTCCCTGTGCGCTGCAGCAGCCCCAGGAGCTTTGGGGGGAAAGGGAGGAGCCACCTGGTTGAACCTGGGGTGGGGTTTGCTCTGCAGACAGAGCTCCTCTGTCCCTGGAGTCCTCGGGAGGCTGATGGAGTCTGTGGCAGGTGTGGGAGGTGGGCTCAGCCCCACCATTGCTGTGCCCTGGCAGGGCAGGGCCTCATCTGTCCCCAGGAGGGTGCTTCAGACCCAGGTGCTGGGACTTACCTGTGAATGGCTAGGGTAGGTCAGGGCCCTCCCCACAGAGGGGTGGTAGGGACATGGGAGAGGGTGAGATCGCCTTGGAGGATGTGGGACAAAGCCAGGCTGGGCACCCCCCAGACTGGCACAGGCAAGGAGGAGACGGAGATAGAGCCTTTGCTGAGGGCCAGTGCAGGAGACGCCCTCAGACAGCACAGTTCTGAGGGCACTGGGGCTCGAGAGGTGCCAGGGGCTGTGGAGAGAAGAGGAGGAGCTGGAGTGCAACTGCAGGCCCGGGCCCACGGGAGGTGACAGGTGAGCATGAGCAGGGTGCACGCGAGAGGCCAGGTTAGAGCTGAGCCAGGAGCTCCTCGTGCGTGGGTGGGGCCCCCGGGGCCCACCCTCTTGCAGTGGATTCTAGCGTGACTTATTCCAGGAAAACTCAGAATGCCCCAGCAGTTGGGGCTTGTTAGAGGCTTGATGGAGCCAGTGGGTACTGGGCCATCATGGTTGCTGTGTGTTTCTTCTGGAAGATGCTTGTGAGCTGTTGGTAATGGGAAAACAGCCCCTTTCTGTAGAACAGCACAGATCTGCCTTCCTGAGCCTTCTGTTTTTTGGTTCACCCATCCGCATGCATAAAGGTAGCAATGTGCTTATGCCTGCTAATGGGGCTGGGGAAGTTGTGGAGAATCCCATTGCTTTTCCTGCCTCCAAAGATAGCCAGGAAAATGCTAAACATCACTGAGCCGCAAAGGAGAAAGGGATTGTGGGTATGTGTTAACTTTGCTTTTTTTTTTCATATTTGATTTTTAAATCTTTCCACAATGTCCAAATAGTACTTTTGTACAGAGGGGACAAAAAAGAAATTGATGAAAAACATCTTCCCCCTAAAGAGCTTGGAGAATGGGGCACTTATGGAGGGGAGGGGAGGATGTGTCCACTAGGCCAGAGAGGAGGGAGTCGCTCCGATGCCTAGTAAGGAAGGGGCAATGTGGCCTCAGCAGGTGTTTGGCACAGAGACCCCTGAGAGCAGGCCCGGAAGGCTGGGCTGTGAGGGCCAGTACAGTGTTAGAGAGGATGATGGGCTGGACCTGCCTGCCACCCACAGCCTCACTGGCTGGGGGTGACCTCTGGGACCCGGCCCCTGCTCTCAGGACCCCCGCAGTCCACAGTTCAGTCCTCTTTCCTGCTTGTGGCCTGGATGTGGGTAGTGGAGGTAGTTATAAGTGGGGCAGTGATTCTGCTGGGGTGTTTTCCTGAGCAGCACAGGGGCAGAGATCTTGGTGGGCCCATCTTCCACTGAGCCCCGAGCACCTCTCTGCATGTGAGGTGGTATCCCCAGCGCTTCCCTCCCATGAGCCCCACCCTGCCCCACCCTGGTCTCCATGCTGTACCCTTTCCAGCTGGGCTCTGCTGACTCGAGTCCTCTCATCAGCCAATGTGTGGACAGATCCCTCTGCCCTCCTTAATGCTGGAGGCTAGGTAGGGGCGCTGACACACAGGCACAGGCGAGATTGCAGGCTGGGCTGCGCCACATGGACCGGGTGCTCAGACCTGAACTTGAGGACAAACTGGCTGCCTGTGCCTGGACTTGGGGCTCCACCAACCCTCCTCGAGCTGGGTGACCCCTGCAGTGGGCAGGAGTGTGGTGGTCCAGGCGTGCAGGGCTCTGGAGTTGGCCCTTGCACTTCCCATTGTGTAAACCTGATCTGGTCTCAACCCCACTGAGCCTCAGTTTCCTCAGGTACAGGTGGGATAAATGAACAAGGCCTTCTCAGGTCTAAGCCATTGACGGGCGGGTGTTGTTGGCATTGTGGCACTGTCTCATCTGATCTTCATAGGCCTAGGAGGTAGGCACATGGTAACGGGCACACACAGGGTAAGGACTTCCTTGGTAAGCAGTGTCCAAACCCAAGCCACCGGGATCGATGTGGACATGTGGCCCCTGAGCTAGCAGTGACCAGGAATCCACCTCTGCATATCTATTGAGCCCACTTGGTGCTGGCTCTATGCAAAAGGTGCCATTAAGGATGAGGGAGGACAAAGGCTTGGGTCTCCTTTGTGGGGGTCTCAGGGATACAGGAAGGTGTGCAGGAGCTGTGGACGTGGCACAGGGTGGGGGGCAAGGCCAGAACCCCCAGCAATAAGGATTCCTGTGGGAAGGCTCTGCACTGTTGCAGGGTACCAGGTGCTAGAGGCAGTCGCCCTGTTGCTGGCTCTGATGCCAGGTCACTAGCCTGGGCTACGCTAGCTTAGTGCCTCCTCCCAGCTCCATGAGATCATTCAGGAGTGGCTCCTGCCAAGGTCAGTGCAGACCCCTGGCCCTTGTGTTCTCATGACCATAGCTGCTCCTGACCCAGATGCTGCCTGACCCTGGCCCCTGGATGTTTCTGCAAACTTTGGAGCTAGTGGCTCCTGAGTCCAGTGTGTGTGGGGGGCCCTGGGATAGGTGCCTGGAAGCTGGTTTCACCTCATCCTCACCATGGCCAGCGATGTCTGTGTCACAGAGGAGGAAACAGGCTAGGACGGCCCAGGTCACTGCTGGCCAGGGGGCCTCTTTCCCATGGATCCTCATGCTCAGTCTGTCCCTGGTGCCTGACCTGAGGCCTTGGAGTAACCCTAGATGCCTTGTGCTGTCCCCACTCATGGCCAGCAGCTCCTGTCCTCCTTCTGAGCCTATCCTTCCAGGACAGCACTGGCCTCGGAAAGGCACCAGGGCCTGATTCCCCTTTGGGAAGCAGGTGCTGATTTGCACAAAGGCAGCAAAGAGGCAGGACAACAGTGGCAGTAAGGACAGATGTGGCAGACAACATGTGTCTTGGTGTGTTAGCCAGTGAGATGGGCTTCTGTGTTCCCTCTTGGAGTCCCCAAATCTGAGAGAGGGGCATCATGTCCCTGTTTTAGGGATGATGAAGGTGGAGCTTGGAGGCTTTTGGTGGCCATCCAGGGCCTCCAGCTCATCCTAGTTTGATAACAGGTCAGGTCCAATCAGGGCCAGCAAGACACGGCACTCCCTGCTTAACGAGAGAAAGACATTCCTGCACCTAGTGGGAACTGATTATGGGCAAACAGGCTCCTGGTTCTCCAGCCCCAGCCACCTTATCTCGGTGGGCAGCCATCAGGGCCCAAACCCAGGCATTATTCTGAGTTTCTTTCTTTTCCTCTACCCACAGAATCTAACTGTATTAGTCAGCTTTCTCACTGCTGGGACAGAATACCTGACTCTTGCAACTTAAAGGAGAGATTGATTTTGGCTCATAATTTCAAAGGTTTCGATCCATGGTTGGCTGGCTTTAAGGCAGAAACGGCAATGTGGAAGGGCCTGGCAGAGAAAAGCTGCTCATGTCATGGTGACCAGGAAGTAGAAAAGGGAGAACACACCCTTCCAGGTCACATTTCCAGTGACCCACCCTTTCCAACCAGGTCTCACCTCCAAATATGACTTTTGGGGGAGTTTTAATTAATAAATTTATTTTATCCCATTCTCTCCTCAAGACCCCTCCCCTCCCTATGTACAAAAGTTTCCATTTTTTTCCTTCTGTTTGCACTTTTTTTTCTTGTCCCTTCCTTCCTCCCTCCCTTCTCCCTTGTTCCCCTTCCCATTTGAACACCTGGGGGGAAATTTTAGATCTGAACTATAGCATTCCTCTCCTGGCTGCCAAAAGGCTCATGTCCATCTCCTTATGCAAAATGAATCTAGTCCATCTCTAAAAGTCACCAGAACCTTAACAGTTCTGAAAAGTACAAGTCCAAAGTCTCCTCTGGGACTCAAGGCAAACTCTGGACTATAACTCCCTATAAAAATAAACAAGCTGGGCCAGGGATGTAGCTCAGTGGTTCCCGCGCCTGCCTCGAAAGCAGAAGGACCTGAGTTCGATCCCCGGTACCAAAAATAAAATAAAAAAACAAGCTGGGCACCACCGGAGGCTGAGGCAGAGGGTTGCTGTGAGTTCAAGGCCAACCTGGACTACATAGACCCTGTCTCAAAAAACCTAAATAAATAAAATAATAAAGATCAAAAAGAAAGTTAAATACTTCCAGCATACAATGGCACAGGTTAAATATTCTCATTCCAAAAGGGAGGAATAAGGGAATAGACACAAATTGGACCAAAGCAAGACTAAAACTTAGCAGGGCAAACAGTCCTGCAGCTGCTTGTCCAGCACCTAAGGCAAATTGTGGTGAGATGTGAGCCTCAAAGGGATTGGACAGCCCTACCCCTATGGCCTTGATGATTGCAGCCCACATGGCCTCTCTTGGGCAGGCTCCACTCATTGCCTGTGGCTTTCCACAGCAGACATTCCATTTTCCTGGCATCTCCAACTTCCTGGGTTCTCCACTGCACTTTCAGCTTCATGTACAGCTTCACACACTGCCCTCTCATGGGGTCCGGTCACACATTTTTGCCTGGTCTCCCAGACCTTCTGAAATCTGGGTGGAAGCCTCTTTGATCCCATAACTTGCAATCTGCATGACTGAAAAAGCACCTTGTGGATGACACTCAGATCAGCCTCCAGCTGGAGCAGTAGCTTTGCCCCTGTGAACCATGGCTGCATTAGTTCGTAAGTGCCTGGATGATTAAACACTTCCCTACATGGCCCTGAATGAACAGACATCCTAACGACTCTTCTCAAATGAAAGATGTACAGTTTTGCACCCTTGAGCCTGTGATGAGTGGAGTCTTACTAATTTCTAAGATCCTCTCAAGGCATATTTCTTATCCCTGTACAAAATATTGCCTTCTTTTTAATGATAATCTTTTTAGCAACAATCCTCTTTCCCCCAATGTTGTAAGCCCTTCCTTTCTGAAGAAAGTTTCAAGTCCTTCATTATGTTCTTTCTACTGATTCTCACTATAGATCTTGGTAAAAGCACCTAACAGGACCCATCCCACAGCCTCAACATTGGGCTGCTTTGAAGTTTCCTCCACCAGATTAATTAGTTCACCATCTTTAAATTCAACCTCATATAAAGTCTTACGGCATGGGTAAAATGTAGACTTTATTTTTTCTGCCAGAATATAACATGCATGGCATTTAGTCTAGTTTCCAATAGAGTCCTCATTCCCAACTGAAATCTCATGACCCTGCCCTTTACTATCCCTATTCCTATCAGCATTCTGGCCTTTGCATTCCAGCCAGAATCTCATCAATCTCTGTTTACAGCATTCAAGAGGTTCTCTAGCCAGCATTTCCAAACCTTTTCAAGCTCTTCCTGCAAACCAGTTCCAAAGGCTTCTGAACAACATGGTCAGTCACAGCGATGACCCTACTCTTGGTACCAGTTTTCTTTCCATTTCTGGGACAGAATACCCAACACCTGCAACTTAAAGAAGGCGAGGTACTGGCAAAAAAACCAGACCTGTGGATCAATGGAACAAAGTAGAGGAGCAGAAACAATCCTAAACACATTCAACTTTTTTACCTTTGACAGAGGGACCAAAAACACACACCGGAGGAAGGATAGCCTGTTTAATAAATGGTGCATGGAAAACTGGCTATCCACATGCAGAACACTGAATCTAGACCTATATCCGAACATGTACTAAACTAAAATCAAAATGAATCAAAGGTCTAAATGTTAAACACAGTCTACTGAAAGATAAAATAGGTAAAACTCTTGCTTGAAGTCAAAGGCGAAGTCAAGGACTCTCTGAACAGAACTCTAGTTGCACAGGAAATAATATCAAAAATCAAATTAAAAAGCTTCTAGGGGCTGGGGATTTAGCTCAGTGGTTCCACTGCCTGCCTCACAAGTGAGTTCAATCCCCAGTACCAAAAAACAAAAAACAAAAAGCTGCACAGCAAAAGAAACCAACAGTGAAGAGAGACCCTACAGAATAGGAAAATATTTTCCCAGCTATTCCTCAGAGAGAGAGGACTAATCACTACAATATATAAAGAATTCAAAAAAAAGTTTGTAAACTGAGGTATCACTGTAGATATTTCTCAAATGGAAGCAATCAAGGGATGGAGGGAGGAGAGGGTAGAGGAAGGACATGAATAAAGATGATGTGTTATGTACATGTACCAACTTACCACAAGGAATGTATTATGTACTGCAAACATTAATAAATGAAAAAATTTTGTGATCTAAAAATAAAAAGGAAAACAGGTCTGGCTCAGAGTTTCAGTGGGTTTAATAGTCTATGGTCAGGCGGTTTCAAGGCAGAAATGGCATGGCGGAAGGGCCTGGCAGAAAAGCTGCTCGTATCATGGTGGCCAGGAAGCATAGAGAGAAGGGAGGAGCCAGGGACAAGAACACAGCCTTCCAGATCACATTCCCTGATCCACTTCTTGTAACCAGGCCCCACCTCCAAATGTGAGACATTTGGGGACCATTTTAGATCTAAACCATGGCTCCAACCCATGAGCAGGGGCTAGTGGGTCTCCCTCCAAATGAGGAATCATAGTATGTACATTACAATATTCAGAACAAGAAAATGGTCAAAGGAAACTCCAACTTGCTGACTTTGGCTTTATTTGCATAACTCTTACATGTGATACTGTAATGTATAATGCATAAAACTACAGTACTGTAGGGCTGGGGATTTAGCTCAGTGGTTTCGTTGCCTGCTGCGAAAGCACAAGGACCCGAGTTCGATCCCCGGTACCACAAAACAAAACAAAAAAACCTACTGTACAATCAGCAAAAATGCATTGTATAAACAAGGTATACTGTACAAGAAAAAGACATGGAGGCTCTATAAACAAGATGTACAAAAAAAAGCAAGTCTGAGCGGTGGGTCACTGAGTGAGGAATGCATGTAATTCACACCTATTACTTCTCTCTTACCTGCACCATGGCCAGCTTAGTCTCAGCCACTGTCAGCTGTCCTCTCTGGGTCCGACTCCCCTCTGCCCTCCTTACCTGGGCTGTCCCCTGAGCTGCTCAGAGGCGGATCCCATCGGGATCTTTCCTCCAAAATCCCAAGCTTGTTGCTGACCCAGGGCCTTTGTACCTGCTGCTGCTTTGGCTCAGGCTGCTTGGCACCAGGCCGAGCAGGGCCTCCTTGGATTTTGGGAGCTCAGTTCAGATGTTGCCTCTGTACAATGACCCTCTCTGTCTCTCTGAATTGCTGCTGCCAAGGGAGCTACCCCCAAGCTAGTTGTCCTTCACCCTGCCATCTTCCAGTTCCCTCCACTAGCCCTTCATAATCTGAGATTTTACTCTGGTGCCTTGTTCAGTTGATCATCTTCTTTCTCAGTCAAAAGTGGGCTCATGAGGGTAGGATGTGGGCCCATTTGGGCCACCATTGAGTCCCCAGTGGCTGGCCCAGAGTATGTAGGTGCTCAAGAGTTATTTATGGAACACGGAATGAATGAATGAACAAATGAGTGAAAGAGCTGGACAGAGCTCCGGGGCCATTCGGGCAAGACGCCTGCCCAGGCCCTGCACTTGGTTCTGTCGTTCACTCCCAAGTGTGGGCAGCACCCTTGACAGAGACGGGGCGGACTGAGTGGCCTTGTCCTTGGGTAGCTGAGTGGCCAGGGCATTCTTTGTTTGTTTTGAGCTGGGGATCGAACTTGGGACTTAGTGCTTTCAAGGCAGGTGGTGGAATCACTGAGCTAAATCCCTGGCCCTGTCAGGGCATTCTTAAGAGTAGAGGTGGAACAGCAAGGCAGAGACCGAGCAGAAGCTGCCCTGCCTTTGATAACCCAGGCCTGGCACCTGACATAGCAGGAGAGAATCCAAGTGGCACCCAGGCCCCCACTGCTAGCCTCCTCATCTCCTTCGGCCACCATGCTGTGTGGGCTGCCATCTTCCCAGTGTCTGCCTGGCCTGCAGGAAACGCTTCCTGCAACCAATGGAAGTTTGCAGAGCACCCACTGTGTGCAGGCACCGCACCATGCTCTCCAGGGCTGCGGATGAGCAACAGAGACGCGTGAACAAACCTACAGGAAACAGCAAGCAGCGATAAACTGAAAAACAAGGTGGGTGTGATGGAGGGGTGTAATTTGGCAAGGGTCTTCAGGATGACAAGCAGAAAGAGACCTGAGTAAGTGCAAGAAGTGTTACCTGTGCAGACAGCTGAGACCATGGAGCATTCCCTGCAGAGGGCCGCAGGTTCCAAGGCCCTGAGGTGGGAACAGCCTTGGCATGGTGTGGGCTGTGAGGAGGAGGCTGGAGTGTGCCGAGTCGGGGGACGGCGGGAAGGAGAGGACAGGCCCCCTGGCAGTGCTGAATTGGCCAAGGCAGCCGCATTTATACCACCGAAATCGGCAAGTGCTATGAGCGAGATCACCCACCAGCTGCTTTTATTGATTGACTGATTCTGCAGGCAAAGGAGGGAGGCATTCGGGGGGTTTCAGTTCGGACAGGTCAGCTCTGAGACGTGGATACCCCAAAAGCAGAGATGAGGCAAGCAGGGTGCTGGGATGGTTCCAGAGGGAGCTGTCCGTGTGGGGTCCCCAGCATTTAGGGGAAGGGAAGGACCACCCCGCAACAAGACTGAGGAGACAGGAACAGAAGAGTGGAACTAAAATGCTCTCTCCTGCCCTGCTGGTATTTTCATTTTTCATTTTTCAAACTAAGCAGAGGGTTGTGTGGGAACAGAGCTCCTCCCTCCAGAACCCCAGGGAAGGTGGGAGAAGGAGGGGCTGAAGTGGGGCTGACCAGCCTGCTAGGCATCGGGATGGTCACGTGCCCCTACCTGGCCAATCAGAGGGCTCCTGCCTCCCCCCTGCTGTGATTGGGTCAGAGCTGAGCATGTGACCCGGGCCTGCCAATGAGGTCTCCCTTGTACTTCCTGTTGGACCAGTTGGGAAGATGCCCTGCTGCCTGGCTTGGTGAGCTGGGAAGATGGCGTCCTGGCGATGCTGGTGGCCAGGCTGGCACATAATTCAGGGTCCGGGGCAAGGTAAAGATGCAGGACCTGTTACCCATCAAGCAGGAAAAATGACACTTCCCTGGTCTCTCTTGCAACTTGACATGGGTTTTAAATTTTCTGTTTACTGACCTTTGAAGTAAGGAAAAATTAAAATTTTAAATGACTAGCATGGTTTTTGCCATTCATCCTTATATCGGACCATACCAGTTTTCGATACACATATCAGAGCATTTACTTCACGTACAGACTCGCTGAAAGGACACAGTTCGTATTTTGTGGCTTGTCCCTGAGGGTCTCTTGAGCTGGCCAGAAAGACAACCACGAGCCAGGTTCAGCAGGTGGCAGCAGGAGGAGGGGACCCTAAGGGGTGCTTCTCCCCATGGGAGGTGTGTGCCTGCCCTGCCCCCCCTGCTATGCCTCCTCCTGTGTGTGCCCACCTGTGACACCTGTCAGCTGTTGTCCTGGGTCCTGGCTCCTCCCCTTCCCATAGCCCCCTGCACCTTACAGCACAGAGCTGGTGCCCAGAGGTCCCAAACCCAGGTAGGGTGGGGGAGGGGCTCCCCCGTCAGGGCAGGGTCTCTGGTTGGCTGTCAGATGGGCTGTCTGTGGCAGGTGGGGAGGTGGCAGAGACAGGGCAGCACGGGAGTTGAAACTTTCAGCCTCTGACTCATACTCCCATCACCCCACACTTCATGTACAAAACAGGTTCAAAGATAAAACAATTACGGATTTCAAGACTGCAGCCGCAGAGCATTAAACCCCAAGCATGTGATTTGAACACAGGCCTTGTGCAACAGCACTGTTTCTGGCCAGTCTTGTTCAGGCCACAGAAAACCTAAGAAGAGGCCAAAGAGATAGAGGAAGTCCAAGAGAGCAAGCGAGGGCAGATGAGATCATGTGGGCCTCAGCTCCAGCTGTGCCCAAGCTGAAAGCTCTGGGGACCTCCCAGTTTCTGAGCCAATAAATAAAACCCCTTTGCCTAAGCTGGCTTTAGTTGAGTTTCTGAGGCTGGAATAAATAATACGGAGCCCACAGAGGTGAGGACCCAGGCTTGGGATCCAGACCCCCTGGTTCCTTTCTTGATTTAAAAAATCTTGGGCCTAGGGGCCAGGGATTTAGCTCAGTGGTTTGCCGCCTGCCTCTAAAGTGCAAGGACCCGAGTTCAATCCCTGGTACCAAAAAAAAAAGTCTTGGGCCTGCTGGGCGTGGTGGCACCTGTAATGTGGTGGCGGCTGAGGTAGGATGACTGTGAGTTCAAGGCCAGCCCGAACTACATAGCAAGACTGCCGCAAAAAAAAGGATGTTGGACAGAGGCAGGGATTTAGCTCAGTGGTTCCGCCGCCTGACTCGCAAGTGCAAGAACCCGAGTTCGAACTCTGGTAGCAAAAAAAAAAGAATGTTGAGCCTGTCCATGTTGGAAGGTCTGTAGGTCGCTTAGAGGTCTAGCTGTCCCTCCCCATGTGGCTCTGTTCTGCCACAGGTCACATGCTTTATCTGTTGTAGGCCTTGACTGCTTTTTCTCAACAAAGGAAAGCTTTATTTCCCAGTCTTTTCAGTTCTCTGCTGGCTGGTTGAAGAGGTGTCAAAGGTGTGTGTGTGTGTGTGTGTGTGTGTGTGTGTGTGTGTGTGTGTGTGTGTGCGTGGGATTGGGGCATAGGGTATGGGGTTGTGGGGTGAGGAAGGCCTGGTAGGGGAGGACAGGTGGATGATCTCTCACTAACAGTTTCCTCTTAAAGCTACTCCTTGGAATGGACAAATAGTTCGTTCATTCATTTATTCATTCAGTCATCCATCTTCTGTCCATTCATTCATTCATCGCCAAGCATGTATCTTGAATGAAATTGGTCCCAAGTCCTGGGCTTTTTGTTGAAGGACTACTCTGGACAGAGCTGACCAGTGTCAGCATCACAGCTGTCACTTACTGAGCACTTGCTGTATGCCCTGCTCCCAGCTGTAGAAACCTTACTACATAAGTGGGTATTCTCACGCCCCTCCTTATTTTGCAGACAAGGAAGGGACTGGGGCCTCTGGAGCCTGGTTTGTATCAGATCTGTGGCTGGAGGCTGGGCTTGGGATGCACACCCCAGCCAGGGTGGCCCGGAAGCCCTCTAGTGCTTGGCGCTGGTGCTGGTCCACACCATTCACCCATTCCTTCACACCTTTGGGGGGGGCAGGAGGGAGGGACCCAACACAGCCCAGCACCCACCCCACGGGGCTGTCCATCCTTCCCCTCCCCCCAGAGCATAGACCTGTGTTGGTCTGGAGCTTCAGTGGGCCAGGCACGACCAGGGGAACTGGCTAGGGCAGCTGACCAGACTGAAAGCTGGGTTCCCCCACCTCTGCCCCTCTGCCACCTCCCCTTCACAACCCTGGAAGGAGGGAAGTTCCTGTACCCCCTGTAACTGCTGAGACTTCTTTTTTTGTTTTGTTTTTTGAGACAGGGTCTCAATATGTATTCTAGGCTGGCCTTGTTGCCCAGGCTGCATTCCTCCTGCCTCAGCCTCCTGAGTCCTGGGATTACAGGCATGTGCCACCACACTAAGCTGCTGGTTTCTTGAGGGCCTTTTGGGAGCAGGGTACCGCTTGAAGAAGCCCCTTCTAAGGTCATAACCAAATCATCCAGCGCTCTCCAGGGAGCCTGAGTCTTGGAAATGTTGGGCTGCTCGCTTCCTCTGCTCATCTCTTGCAGTCAGGGAGGGGCACAAGGCTCCTTCCGGCCCAACGAGTGAAGGAGAATCACTTCCATGATGGGGCTGTGAGGAGCCCTGGCAAGGCCCCAGCTCACAGTCTCTGCCTCCACCATGGAGCAGGTGGAGCAGCTGAGCATGGTCGCACTTTCCTGTAACCCCAGCACTTGGGAGACTGAAGCAGGAGGATGGCTTGAAGTTCAAGGCCAGCTGGGACTACATAGTGAGACCCTGTCTCAAAAACAAAAAAGGACAACAGAAAAAGAAGTAGCCAGAATTGCTGTGTCACCCCACGGAGAGCTCTAGCCTAGGAGAGTTGTCTTAATCGGACTTCACACGGTCAAGAAATAAAGCTTTGTTGTGTTAAATCTTCGAGATGGGGGTTAATTTGTTTCTGCAGCACAGCTGTTCCCATACTGACTAATACACTACCCTGTTCAACTCCCAGCTCACTATTACCACCTCTGCTCACCTGAATCTGTCTCATCCCCTTCAAACTGTTCCTCTTTCTAAAGAAAGAAATAACATTGAAAGAACAAATGCTGATTTGCTGTGGGGTTTTTTGTTTTGTTTTGTTTTTGAGACAGGGTCTCACTATGTAGTTCAGGCTTGGCTCTGAACTATGTAGCCCAGGCTGGCCTGGAACTCACAGTGATTCTCCTGCCTCAGCCTCCCAAATGCTGGTGTGAACAAACAGATGTCGCGCTCCCAGGTAGAGGTGGAATTTGATATCACCACCTGTGCTTCTCTTACTGTGCTTGGACACAGGGCCTCATCAGAAAGCTGGAAGCCATGGCTGCTTTTCTTCCTTTCCTTTTTCTTTTGTGCAGCACCTCCCACCTGCCAGGTGATGGCTGTGCTGCGGGGCTACCCTCCTGGCCCCTGGTGCCATGTCCTGACCCTGGGAGAGTTGGAGCTGGCCCAGGATCACACTTCTGTCCTCTGGCACTAGCGCTAGCTGTGCAGATGAGGGAGCATGCAGCTGGCAGGGAAGTGACTCAGCATGGGCCCAGGGAAGTCTCGAGCTGGGCCAGGACCTGCACTGGGCTCTGTGAAGGCCTGGCCAGTGTCCTTCCTGCTGAGCTCAGCCTCTTCCTCCTTAGCTTCCACCCAGATGGCTGAGAACCCTGAGGGTGTAGGGGGCAGTGTGCCTCTCGCTCCCCTCCACCCTGTCAACCAGCAGCCCTGGCACCTCACTCTGCGTGACCAATGGGTAGGGCTGGGACATGGCTCACACAGGCAGTGACTGGGTCCCGGGGTGAGCTTGTGTTTGTGTTTTGTTTTCCTTGTGGTGCTGGGCATCAAGGCCAGGGCCGCACTCCAGCCAGGCAACGTTGTACCACCGAGCCACGCCCCCAGCCTGGGCTTCTGCCTCATTCTTCTTTGTTACAAAACAGAGTATGGGGTCAGGGTGTGGCTCAGCAATACTGCACCTGTCTCAGCCTGGCTGAGGCCCGGGTTCCATCCCAGCACCAGAAACCAACCCACAAAACCACCACACTACAAAGCAGTGTGCAGGAGGGGCAATTCTCTTTGTTTTTTTTGGAGACTGGATCTCACTGTATAGTCCAGGCAGGGCTTGAACTCACTGTGGGGCCCAGGCTGGGCTCAAACTCACAGTGATCTTCCTGCCTCAGCCTCCTGAGCGCTAGGATTACAGGTGTGGACCATGCCCAGCAGGTAGCCTTTTTTAACTGGACATGGGGACAGATTGTGTTACCTGTATCCTGGATGTCCCCAGGCCCTACCTGCTGGGGTGTGAAGGGTAGCACTTTTCTCTGCCCAGGAGCTTCCAGTGGGGGCTACCAACTGCCCCTCAGGCCTGGCTCCAGGCTTGGGTCAGGAGCAAGTTTGGGACCAGACAGAGTCCTTTTCTGGGATTTTCTGAGTTAGCAATCAGGGAAGAGGCCAGTTCCTGTTGGGTGGTGAAACTGGAAGAGGAGGCAGGATCTGGTCTGCAGTCGGAGAGTTCGAGGGGCAAATGCAGAGAAGAAAGCCCAGGACTTCTAGAAAGAGCACCTGGAGATTTGTGCCTGGATCCTGCTGTACCTGAAGCCAGCTACACAGTTTACTGCAAGAGTCAAGGAATCCTACCTTTTGTCCAAGCTGGTGCCAGTCATGCTGTTGTCCCCTACCATCTAACTCAGTCCCTGCCCCGGATGGGGTGGCAGGACACAGACCCCACTTCCTGTGCCCGCTTGCATCATAATGTTCCGGATTCTTCCCCACAGGACTGTGAGTGCCAGCAGGCAGAGACTGGACAGTCGTGTGACGCTGGGCAAACCGTCTCATTTCTCTTTTCAGATTTTTAAGTTTTGGAGATGCATGTGCCTATGTCGCCCAGGCTGGCCTTGGACTCCTGGGATCAAGCAAGCTTCCTGACTCAGCCACCTGAATACTGAATACCTGGGACCTCAGGCATGTGTCACTGTGCCCAGTTCTAAGTATTCTCATTTCTAAAATGAGAATGTTAACAGCATCTGCCTCTGCCAGTCACAGAACCGCTTGCTGTTCTTGCGTCTGCTGTGTTCATTGGTGGTGGTCAGTTTTGTGCTGGGCATGGGCCCAGTGCCGAGTGGGCGCTTTGTCAGCATCTGCCCGGGGAATGGAGGGACAGGGAACTACTCCAGGTGTGCAGGCCCCATGCAGAGACACATGTGGTCACTTGCATGCTTCGGCTCCGTTTCTCTAACGCACACATGCGTGCCCAGGGCTCAGCGCCCACACAGTGGCCCTGCCGGGAGCAGGCTGCCTGGGGGCTGCTCACTTTCAGAGCTGCTGTTCTCTGGAAGCTCCCTCTCCTCACTACCCGGGGCCCCAAATCTCTTCCTACCCCCTCAGCTCCCCAAGGAGCACCCCCAAATCCTGCCTGGGTGTCTTGTGGGATCTGGCTTGGTCTTTTTACTGGAGGCAGAGGGGCTTGTGTGTGGACCGTGTGGTTTGCTTGTCTGTCCCCGCCCACTTTCTGGGGATCCTCATGGCCAGAGAAGCTTTCTGAGGTCTCTGGGGGGCGCAGGCCTGGGCATGCTCCTGCTGGGGCCGTGAGCCAGTGAGGGGCGCCTGGGGCCGGTGGCTCTGCGGTCCAGGTCTGTGTTTTGTGCGCATGTCCTAGTATTCGGGGACAGTACCGTGGCTGGTGTTTTGGGTCTCGCTATGGTGCCCTGGGCATGAACTCTCTGCCCCACGTGCCTTGGTCTTCAACACAAGTGGGGACCTTTCCACCCTGGACCTGGGTTTCACTAGGTGTGTTGTCAGCTTGAGCTCTGGAAAGCTGTCTGTGGGGAGCGGAGCCCTGGGCTGGGGTCCTGCCGATTTCAGAGCTCTGACTTCGCACCCCGCTACCCACCTACACTCCTCAGCCGTGGGGATCCCGGGGGACCTGCGTGGACTTCCTAGGCCCCTTGGCCGGTCCCTTCCCGTGCCCAGCCCCACGCTCCCAACAAAGGCGACCGAGCACGTGGCCTCCTCGCCGCGGACGTGGATCGGGGACGCTCGCGGCTTTCCGGGCCCCGCTCCCGCCAGAGCTGGGCCGGACGGGGTGATGCACCCCGGTGCTCACAGCCACCCCCGCAGCGCCGACGCCCCGGCCGAGCCTCGCCCACTCCTATCCGCAGCCGCTGCAGCGCCCTCCAAGCGGCGCTAGGGGGAGCTCTGGCAACTGGCTTGGCGGATGCAATAAAAACGGCGCTGCCAACAGCTATTTCCTTGGACTTGCAGGGAGAAATGGGGAGGGGGGACACGCACTGTTCCCCCTCCTCAGCAGCTCCAGCCTCTTCCCGTGGGAGGCCGAGAAAACAGCCCTGGGGGAGGTGGTGATGAAGGTGCCTTTCCTCCCCGTGGCGCACGCCTCCAGATCCTCCCGCTTCCCCCACCTGCGTCGCGGCCCTGCGTGGCCCCTGCGTCCCGGAGGGTGTCCCCGAGAACTTCGCCCCGCGGGACACCGGGATCCGGAGCCGAGCCCACCCGGGGACCCGCCTCCCGGAGTCGGGGCAGCAGCCGCTCCCCGCGGCGGGAGGCACGGAGGCTGGGGTGGGGGCGGCGCCGTCCTGCCCGGCGGCTGGGTAGGCCCGCGTGGAAAGGGGGACGCTGGAGCTTGGGGACATTACCCTGATACCAAACCAGAGAAGGAGCCAACCGAAAAAGAACTGCAGGCCAATCTCCCTAACGGACACGGAGCTCTGGGGAGACAGCCGGAGATGGAGACAGGGAGACCCCACCAGCCACAGCCAGCAGGCAGCGCTTGGCTCGTTTTCCAGCACCTTCTCTCCCTCCGGTTCTTTCTTTACCAGCCCCTCCGCGAGAGCTGGAACCGCTCGCGCGCCCCGGGCCCAGCCGCGGCTCCAGATGTGCGCCGGGTCGCAGCGGGGAGAACGCGAGCTTCCCCCGGGCCTTGGCACATTCTCCTGCTCTGAGGTCATTCCGTAGGTGGTCAGAGGGGAGCGCGCCCGGAGCCTTCCTGCCTCCATCCTGGGGGGGGCGGGGAGGCGGGAGCGGAGGGAGCGAGGGGAGGGGCGGAGGAGGGAGGGAGCCGCCGCCAGCACACCACCAAGTGGCACCGAGCAGTGATAACAAACTCAACTTAAAAAAAAAAAAAAAAAAAAAAGAGAAAAAGAAAAAAAAAGGAAAAAACTTCCTCAAGTTGCAGCCGGAGACGTGCGGACGTGCAGGCGGACGCGCGGGGCGGGGAGTGTGGGTGGCCCGGGAGCCTCCCGGCGTCCCCCTGGCTGCGGGGAGCTCAGACTCAGGCCGAGCGGGCCCTGTGCCCCTGGCTGCGCGGGGACCGTGCGGGATGAGGCCGGCGCACCTTCCAGCTGCAGACCCCGGGGCGGCCGGTTCCCGGTTGGGGGGGGGTCAGCACCCGAGGGCGAGGGAGGGGGACCTGGAGGAGCGCGCAGCCCGGCTCGTTCCTTCCCCGGAACCGACAGCCTCCTCCCCCTTCCCGTTCCCACCCCGGGCCTTGCGGATGTGGGCAGATCCCGCGCCTCCCCCCAGGCCCATCTGAAAACAAGGCACCACCATACTCTACAATCGACTTTTTATTAAGATTATAAATTTAAACAAATCATCTGAACAGTTTTACCCAGTGACATACAGTCCAATGTGTACAAAATACAGGCGAACGAGGGAGAAGGGCAGAGGAAGGGAAAGATTGGCAACTTGTCTTGGAGTCTGCATGGTGCTAGAGGGGCTGCAGATGAACCTCACCTTTTTACAACAAAAGGCTTTTAAATTAAACCAAATATACGGAGTTGAAGACCACAGGACGAGGTTCTCACAGGCTTGAACAATGCTGGTTTCGTGAACTGCAACCGAAGGCTGAGCCAAGACAGTGCAACTCAGAAACACACAAACATCACAGCTGACCAGGAACTTAGTGAGAAGTCTCCGACGCAGTTGGCGGTCGCGGTCCTGGCCCCTCCCTCCCCCGGGGCCGTCGGGGATCCAGGTGAAGGAATGGACTTCCTTTTTTGTTTAGTGAGGACCGCAGTGCTGGGCATGATGGGAAATGTAGTCCTCCGTGCTGGCCCCCCACCCCTTCCCAAAACAGTGTCCAGAGAGTATTGGGGTGTCGAACGCCAACCCCGAGTCTGGGAGATGGGTGGAGGAGGGAAGGGGAACCAGGCCAGAGGGGCGGGGAGAGGAGGGGTTCAAAACACCCGCCCCGGGAAGAAAAGAAAAGAAAAAAAAGTTGAAGTGTTTTCATTTCTGCCTTCTCATTTGGAGAACTTCGGAGGCCGCCCCCAGAGAGGAAATGTGACCCAAACGTCCCTTTTGGAGATAGAGTTTGCCTTTGTTTTTTGCTGAGGATTTCACAAGACTCATTCCTCACCCCACAGAGGGACTCGGGAGAGCGGAACGTCGGGCTTCCCGCGTCTGACAACTGATTGGAATCTGCGTCCCCTGCTCTGCGCCCTCCTGCGCTGCGCCCCTGGTGCGCCCTGGTGGCCCGCGCGCCCTGCCTCGCCCCCGGCCTCCCGGCACCTCCTCCGGGCCGCAGCCCTCCCTCACGTGGCAGGCTCCTCGCTAAACACCACTGCAATCACTACAATAAAAAGAGGGGCAAAAAAAGAGTAGGAGAAACACAAAGCATACTTAAATAGGCGCTTTTTCTCTCTGCAAAAATAAAGTCCAAGATTTTATATTTCTTTTTTTTATTTTACAATTATAAAACATCGGCCGCCTCCCTCTGCTCGCCCCCAGCTCAGCCCGGGGAGGCTGGGCGCCCGCTCGCTCCCTCCTCTCGCCCCGTGGCCGAGTCTTTGTCTGGCCCCAGCCCCGCGGGGCCCCGGGTCCCCGTGCCCTCGGGGGTCCCTAGAAGGCGACAATGGCTCGAGTCCAGGCGCCGAGGCTGGCGAGCGCCTGCTTGGCGCACAGCTGCCCGTTGAGCGGCGGCGCCTGCTCCGAGTCCGGCTGTCGGCTCACCAGCCCCGAGAAGCCCGAGCCAAAGATGGAGATCAAGTTTGAGATGTTGGACGCGTCCGGGGACGAGTCCGGGCAGAAGTCCTCAAAGCGGGCGCGCTTGCAGGGGGCGAACGGGGTGCCCCCGGGGGGTTCGGCCCCCAAGTCGCCCGCGTCCTCCTCCTCGTCTTCCTCGTCCTCCTGGCCAGGGTAATACTTGCGCTTGCACCCGGCGGCGGCGGACGGCAGGCCTGGTCCTGGAGCGCCCTGGCCACAGCAGGGGCAGTGGGCGGAGGCGCAGCAGTCCTGGTGCAAGTAGCCGTTTTCCACCGTGGTCACCACGTGTGTGTCCAGGTCCAGCACGGTGGTCTGGCTGCTGCAGTGCACGCCGAAGTCCGAGGGGGCCGGGTAGGCGCCCCGGTAGAAGCCAGAGGAGGAGGCGGGGGCCGGGGAGATGGGCGGGGAGGCGGCGGCCGGAGGGGCGGCCCCTGGGGGCGCGGAGGGCGCGGAGGGCGCAGAGCAGGCGGCGGAGGCGCGAGGGTCCCGCGGGCAGAGCGAGGCAGGCGCGGGGGGCGGCGGCGGACCCGGCTGCAGCGGCTCCAGGGGCTGCCCGCGGTGGGGCGCGCCGTGCGGAGGCTGGAGCGCGGCGCACCCGGGCAGCTCCGCGAGCGCCCCGACCGCCACCGCCGCCGCGCAGCCCCTGGGCGCCGGGTGCTGCTGAGGTTGGTGCAGCTGCTGCTGGAGGTGCAGCTGGTGGAGCTGGTGAAGCGGGTGCAGCTGGTGCCGGGCGGCCGGCTCGCGCGCCTCCGCGTCCCCGCCGCCGCCGCCAAGTTGGAGCGGGCCGAAGTCGGCGGCGCTGGCCGGCATGCCGGGCGCCGCTACCGCCGCGTAAGCGAGGGGCTGGTGCTGATGGAGGGGCGGCTGCGGCTGCAGCGGAGGCTGCTGGCGCCGGTAGAGCTCGGCGTAGCGCTCGCTCAGGTAGAGCTGGCGCGCGTTGCGGAGCACGTAGGACACCAGGAGGTTCTTGTGCAGCTTGATGCCGCCGCGCTGGGTCCGGGAGCTGTGGATCTTGCGCAGGGAGATGCTGATCAGGCTCTGGGCGTCCAGGGCGCACTCCATGCTCCCGCGGCGAAGCAGCCGCGGCTGCTCCTGCTAGTACTGCTGTTGTTTCTGCCTCCAGCCGGCCGCCGGGGCGCGCCGGGCAAGGGGGAACGGAGCCCGGGTCAGCGGGTCGGCTGCGCTCCGAGAGGAGCGGCCACCATGCGCCGCGCACCACCCGCCGGCTCGCGCTCCCCAGACGGCGCCAAAGCAATGAGCCTCTGCCGGCCCCGGCCCCAGCTATTTAGCCGGGAACCCGGACCCCGCCTCCCACGAGCTGAGCCAACAGGAAGACGCGGAGCCTCCCGAGTGACAGGCGCTGCCCGCCCCCGGGCCTCTCGGCTGCCCAATCAGACCAAGGCGGTTCCTTTGTGCTATTCAAATACCGAACGGACCGGGGCCTCCAACGCAGCCGCTGCCTCGAATGTTCTCCTGGGGCTGCCGCGCTGCGCTGGGCTCGGAGCCGCGTCTGCAGCCCGGATCGCCTCACAGGGGCCACGTCGGTGCCCATAACTGCCCTTGGGCACCCTCGGCTCGGCCCCTGGGAGCTGGGTGTCAGTCCACCCGGGTGCCGCGCGACGCTCCTCCCTCTTCCGCACGGCCGGCCTCACCTGCGGCAGGTGGGTGCTCCCCGCTCCGCGCAGGCGGTGCCTCCTCTGTCCCATTCCCGGCCCCGGGACCGCGAAGTCAAGGTCGCTGCAAAGGAATCGTGACAGGGGGCCCTCCGGGGAGAGAGACTTGGGGTGCCCTTCCCCACCGGCAGCGCTGGGCTTGGCCCCCTGACTTTTGGCCGAGGCGCCGGAGGGACGACCTCCTTGTCTGTCTGCGGGAAAAGCCCGAGCCTGGTGCGTTTTGATTTCAGATGCAGAAGGTCCCAGGCCTGCCAGGGATCTAAGGCCCCAAAGCGCTGGGAGACCTGTCCCAGCTCCCTAACCACCACCCTGTAACCTCTTCCTTCTGCTGACAATGACAACAGGGCATTATGTGCCTAATACGGGCAGGCCCTGGCTAGAAAGGCCCCAATTCCTCCCGATAACCTTTGTAGAGCGGGGGCTGAGGCCGAGGAGTGGAGGGCCTCGGGGGTCAGTCCCACCGCTCTTGGGGACGGAGCTGGGACCATGGGTTCTGGCATCCCTGAGATGAGCTCAGGATTTGAACCCGGTCTGCAGCTTCCAGGCCAGGCCTTATCAGGTCTTTATCCTGAGCTGTCTCAAGCTGCCTTCCCCCAGCTGGGGGGCTGATTCCTGGGGGGCTCTGGGGCCCCTGTCTGAATGGAGAGGCCAGGGCGGGGCCTACTGGACAGTGTGAGGAGCACCCAGGAGACAACGACGACGAGAGACAGATGGAGCCTTGGGGTGCGGTGCAGGCTGCTCCCGCAGACCTGGCCCTCGGCACCTTCTTGTCCCTTGGCAGGGGTCCCGGGGGGGGGTCTCCTTTTAGGCCTAACAATCATGACGATGTGTTCTCCAGCACCTTCTCACTGCCGGGTGTCAAGGGTGAAGACAGTTAGGGGTGTTTATCCCATTTTTCAGGTCAGGACCCTGGGCACTGAGCACCAAAGGGCTTTGCTGGAAACCACTTGGCTCCAGCTCAGAGCTCTGTCCTCCCCCCGCCCAGAGCAGCCAGGGTTAAATTTTAGGGGGGTCCAAAGCAAGCACATTTTACCGACATCCTAGTGGTGACCTGGGGACACCAGAGGCTGGGGATCCAGCTCACATGATGATAGCTGTCAGAGCAAAACCAACCCCCCCCCCTTCCTTCCCTAACACCTGCTTCAAATCCATGCTGCGACTTCATTTATTTAAGCTGGAGGTTCACCTTTCAGATATTGCAGACTGGGAATGTCAGGAACTCGTACCTGATTCCAGCTTTGAAGACTGGAAGTCTGGAACCCACAGTGAACTTCAGACCTGAGTGTTTATCAGGGAAATAAATGGAGGCTTAAGCTCACACAGCCAGGGAAAGATGAATTCGCGGGCCGGGGAGATGCTGTTCTCCTGGCCTGGTTCCTGGTCTTGACTTGATTGACCCCACCACTTGTCTGCTAACTGCTGGGGACCAGGGCCTGCAGGAGTCAATGGAGAAGCAGGGCTCAGTCTCAGCTCATTATTCGGAACCTTTCTTCTTTCTACTTTTTTTTTTTTTTTGAGACAGGGTCTCAATGTGTAGTTCAGGGCCTTGAACTCACTACGTAGCCTAGGGTGGCCTGGAGCTCACATCGACCTTCCTGCCTCAGCCTCCTGAGAGCTGGGATTACCGATGTACACCACCACACCCAGCTCTCAGAGCCTTTCTTCCAGCAGTGCCCCACAACACTCTCTGGGGGCCAGGCTGGGGAATCAAGGTAGGGCTGGAACATGCTGGGTAGGGGAGCCAGCACTTCACTTGGGCAACTCCTCTTGGTATCTCCCAACCCTCACCCAGCCATGTTCCAAGGTGAATTTTGAGCTCTTTTTGTTTGTTTGTTTGTTTGAGGCAGGGTCTCACTCCACGGTTCAGGCTGCCCTTGAACCCACAGCGATCCTCCTGCCTCAGCCTCCCAAGTGCTGGAATGACAGGCATGCATCACCACACATGGCTAAATTTTGAGCTCCCTTTTCCTGGGCCTTCTGAGGCCCAGGGATGCTGGGCGGATGCTCACTTGACCTCTCCTCCTCAAGGACCAAGGGGTGGTTGGTGGGGAGGGCTCAGCAGTTGTCTGGCTTAATAAAAACCCTTGATCTTTTCTGGGGTGGCCTGGGCAGGGGAGTTGTCGCAGCTGTTGTAAGAAAACACCAAAGGAGGAAAGGAAGCAGCTGAAGTGTGTGGGGCCCCTGGGGCCCAGGGTGGCTGGGGGGGCACACAAAACTGGAAGTCACAAATGTGCATAGGTTGGGGGGTGCGGTCAGGGTAACATGCTGGCTTTGTCTGGACACCTGAGCAAGGCTGGGCTGCTCACCTCCCCCAGCCTCGCTGGGAGATTGCATCTGGCCTGAGTCACCGCTCCCTGGAGGAAGTTAGTAAATGTCTCAGTATTTACCTGAGTGTCTGCTGGGACAGCACAGAGCAGGGCCAGGGCCCTGGGCTCCTGTCAGCCCTCAGGAGTGGCCATCAGTGAGTGCCTTGCAAGTGTACAGGTGCCCGGGATGCCTCTGGTCACCAGGCCTGGGGGTGACGTGGTGAGGAGGTGGCTGGTCAGCATGGGGACTTGCCCAGCAGGCTTTCAGGGCTGGGCTGGGGCTGAGGGTGCAGAAGCAAAGACCTTATGGAGGGACTTGTGTTGAAAGAAGGGGAGAGAGATCTGGACTTCACGCAGTCATTCTCTGGGGCCCCTGCAAGTAGATGCGGGGACAAGCATGAGTCTCCCAGGAGGCCACGATTCAGGGGGAAGCAGACAGGATGCACAAATGGACAGCTTGGAGCAAACTGTGCCATGGGGACGGATACTCCGGGCTTGGGCCAGCATCGAGGGAGGACAGTGGTGCGTGGCCAGCAAGGGGGTCCCTGCTGAGTCCTCTCAGCACTGGGGCCACGTGGGTGCAGAGGCTCTGAGCTCCGTTCCAGAGATGCTGTTCTGTGGCCAGCAGGCCCCAGGGAGCAGGGAGCGAGGCTGGGGTCCCAGAGCCTGGGCAGCCCCGCAGGACCACACCCGCCGCTGGCTGTGGGGGAAGTTAATGAGCCACCAATGGCTGTGTTTGCTCTGTACAATCCTGGCACAGACCCAGGACCCAGGAAGACACCAGGCCTGGGTTTGAGGATAAGGAAAAAGGTGCACGGGGGCTCTGCCACCCGGAGCTCTGGCTCTCACCAGGCCCAAGTCCAGCTCCCCCAAGTCCCCAGGTTCAGTTATATCGTCTGTGTCATGGAAGAAGCAACTGAGGCCTGGAGAGCTCGGATGTTTTGTTTGGGGTCACAACGAGGAGCAACCGGGCTCTGGGGCCAGATGGGGCCCCAACGGGTCTTTGGGTGACACTGTACTTACTGGTGGGATGTGCATAACATGTAGGGTGACCTCTCACACTTTGAGTCTCTGTCTGAGCAGCTGGCACAGGCTGAGTGTGCATTTGCCATTCATTCATTCATTTATTCATTCCCTTCCTCCCTCGTTCAGTAAGGGCCAATGTGCAGGTGTGTGCTGTGCTGCAGGAAGAACACCAAGAAGATCTCACTGCCTGGAGTCAGCTGAAGGATCCTTTAAATCCCCTGGGCCAAATCTGATCAACTGGTAGGGTCTGCTGGAGCTCTGGGTTGTCAGGGATTCAGCCTGTGCCCAATCGATTAGTGATGTCTGCCAAGGGCTGGCCATGAGCCACTGTGGCCAGTGTGCAGAGTAGGAGGAGGATATCACACTGGGTTGATCTGGATTTGGCAGAGAGCAGGGCTGGGGGTCAGGAGAAATGGGTTTTAGCCCCAGAATGGCCTTGTTATCCCTAGGTAGCATGCATTGCTCTCTCAGGCTTCAGCTTCCCAATTTGTCACCTTCCTCTAGGAGGTACCATGACATCAGAGGACTCACAGGTGCTTTGCAAAGTGGAGCCAAGAATGGCAGAGGGGATTGGTCTGGAAGCTGCCCCCTCCCCTCTTTCCTCCTTCTCAAAATGCTGCCAGGAGCTGGGCCTGGCCAGGCTGGAGTTAATACCAGGACACACTGGGCGGGGGTGGCTGAGGGAGTGGGTGGGGGTCGTCGAAGCGGCTCCTGGCTCCAAGCTGTTTTTATAACTCACTTAGTACAGACCTTTGTCCCCTTGCCACTCAGCTGGGGGTTTCCAAGGAGTGAGAGGCCCCTTGGATCTTCAGCTCTGAATGGCAGTTTTAGCTTTTCGTTCGAGCAGGGAGGGCTGGTGAATATGCTGCCTGCCTCCCCACCTCCCTGCTCAGTGAGTAACAACTGCAGACTCCTTTGTGACAGGATGGAGTTGAGAGTGAATTCCTTCTCCTTAATCCTCAAAATGACCTAACAAGACCCGGGAGTGTTGGCACATGCCTGTGATCTCAGCACTTGGGAGGCTGAGACAGGAGGATTGCTGTGAGTTTGAGGCCAGCCTGGGCTACACAGTAAATTCAAGGCCAGCCTGAACTGCATAGCGAGACCCTGTCTCAAAACAATACAAAACAAAAATGATCTAATGACGTGGGGGGACTAGAATCTCCATTGGAGAGTTGAGTAAACCGAGCCCCACAGAAGTGGAGTTCTACAGCAGGGTCAGACATGCCCTGGCTGCT